TTACAAAAAATGACACTAACACCACATATTTCCCGCCTTTTGGTAAGTACAAGAAGAAAATTTAAAGAAAAAAATGGAAACTGTTATTAAGAAAAATTATTTTAACAAAATATAAATTGCTTATACTTCACGCAAAATTACTCGAAAAGTACTCACATTTTCGAAAAATTAGGGATTTCAACAAACATGACACATGTTCCAATCCCTTAAGCCTCCTTTACGCTATCCCAGGACATAGTTTAATCAAAAAATTTGATGCCATTTTTGAGAAAATTTTAAAAATGTTTTTGAGGTTTCGTGTAAAGTACCTAGCTTCAAAAATCAAAGTATCTGTTTGAAACTCCCGAAGATTTGAGTTCGTTCGGAGAATACCAATGGAGAAAATTGGCTGAACGATTTAGGTGTTAGCATTGACCACAGACGGACAGACTGGCGGAAATAGAGACACATTTTGCCGTCAATCGATTGTCGGTATCAAGAACCCACAAAACATGGATTCAGGCTACACCACGTGTCGGAGGAAGTAATTTACTATATACATCAACATAATTTATTCACTTTTCGTTACCAGGACCCGACAATGAAGAGTTTTCTGCCGAAAATTCGTCGTTTTCCAGCCCACGATGATATGGCTTTCTCTTCTTACGAACAACCTTCGTAAGGGCGAGAAAGTAAACAATAAGGACAAGATAAAGAGCAAGGAAAATGACAAGGAAAAGGACAAAGAAAAGAAGAAAAAAGTACATATTTTTGGAAAATTTCATTTTTTTCAGTTTCCTAATTGTAGAACCGAAATATTACTCCAAGAATAATATTGAAGTGTAAAACCTCGAATTTGCCCTCTGTCGTTGAAAAAATTGGAGCTGATTTTAAGAAAATATCGATTAAGCGCTAGCGTAAATGCGAAATTTGAGATTGCTTATCAGTGACACTTTTTGAGTTTTTGAAACAATTTATTGGAAGTCATTTGAAGCACTTCCACCCACAAACGCAGTAATGTAGTAACAGTGAAAATCGAACCAACGCGACCGTTATAAGTGTACTTTATTCTTACCAGAAATTTAAAAACAAAATTTGAGCCATTTTTGATAAAATTTTGAAAATGTCTCAGGGGATTCATGTAAACTACTCCCAAAAATTATTGAATGTTTTTCAAAACCGCAGAGCTCTGAATGAGGTTTGATCGGCAGTGGTTTATTCAGTTTGGAAAAAATCTTACGCACAGTTTAGGCACTAGTGTTGTTCACATTCACTACACGGACGGACAGACGGACGCACGCACGTTAAAAAACAACACTTTTTCGGTGTCAGGGGACTCCAAAATTGTACTTCCATTGAAATCTCGAAATCGAAGAAAGAAGAAGAAATGGAGAAAGGGAAGGCGATAGCTAAGGAGATGAAGGTGAAAGCGAAGGCGAAGGTGGAGAAGCAGGGGTGGAGCAGGGAAAGGAAGAGGAGAAGGGAGAAAGTGTAGGAGAATGAAGAAGAGGAGGAGGAGGAAAAGGAGAATGAAATATAGAGCAATGCTAAGGGGAAGAAGGGAAAGACAGAGAATACAAAGGGGAAAACAAAGGATGGGAAGAAGGAGAAAGTGAAGATGAGGAACAGAAGAAGAAGAAGAAAGAAAAGCTAAAGAAGTAGAAGAGGAAGAAGGTGGAAAAGGAGAGGAGGAGAAGCAGAGGGAGACAGAAGCTACGGGTAAAGGAGAAGGAAAAAGAGTACAAGAATAAGGAGGAGGACTAGAAAGAGTAGGTGACGGCAAAGAAGGAGAAGTTGATAACAAAAGAGGGAGGAGAACAAAGAGAAGGGAAGAAGGAGGAGGAGGACAAAAAGAAAGTGAAGGGGAAGGAAGATAAAATGGAAGGCGAGGTAGATATAGAAGAGAAGGGGAATAGAAGATAAAAATATAGTGGTACAAGAGGTGGTAGAGATTCAAGAATAAGAATATAAAATATAGTGGAAGTATGAAACATAATTTTAATTGAGGACTTCAGAGAATCTGTTCTTTTTGTATTTGTTATTGTTCAGATGATTCTCTCTTTTACTAATTTAAAGGTTTTCTTTGCCTCTGGTGTTTGGCCCAAGATTATTATTCTGTAAGTTATTTGAGAATTAAGTGAACATTTTTTAAGAACTACCTGTACACTGTACAAACCATTCCAATAGTGCTGTTCCTTGAAATTATTTTGAGAGAATAATTAAGTCCGCTCAATTTTGATACAATAGCTTCTAGTTGTGACTTCCACTTGAGATTGAATTGTACAGTAACACCAAGATGTTTTTTCTGTGTTTGCATGATGCTGTTTCAATGGCCAAGTTAGCTTTGTGTTACAGGACTTTGATTGTTTTCATTGTGAATATTATGTTAGTGTCATTAGCATATAACACTGATTTATTGTTTTGCATTATTATTGGGAGATTATTTACAAACATAATAAATATAATGGAGGTTAGAATGGATTCCAGCAGGATACCATAGGTCACAGCTCTGGGTTCAGAGTGATGATATTATGTTTGTTTTACAATATTGTAGGGAAAGTGAGGTGGAAAATTGTGTTTTATTGTATTGAAGAAGGCGTTAACCATTAAGTTGGTGACAGAAATGTCGTGTATTCCAGACCATCATTCATTAGTTAACAGTCAAACAAGTTTGATGAAGTTCCATTAGTTGTATCTTGTCTCCTGAAGAGAGTTTGTCTTCAAAGAGGTTGAATTTGTTTTAAGGGTATTTGTGCATTATGGTTGCTAAGCCCTATATCATTGGTGATTGTGTAGTTGTAGTCTGTTTTGTGGAGAAGAGTTGGTTAATTATTGATTGGGCATTCTCAAATTGTCTATTGGTGGTCGGTTGTTGTGCATCAAGTATTAATGCATGAAGATATCTAGTTTGATTCTTTCATCTTCAGGAGTGAAGTTGGCTGTTAGTAAGAAATTAATGTTTATATCATCACAGATTCTGACAAAGTAATGAGCAAACATTAAAAATGTATTGAAGATTATTTCTAAGTCTTTTAAAAAAAATAATGATTTCCTTCAGGTACGTGACAGATGATTATGAGAAAAATATGTTGCTTTGGAATTTCTACAATTCTATGTCTTAAGTTACAGGTTAAATATTTGAATTATGATACTTCCTTGGAGTCATTTTTATTGCCAGGATGCAAATTGGCAATTTTCTCTGAAGGGGGACATTCAAAATTACAGGAGAGGGTGAAAAGACCATCTTTATGCACCCAAGAATCTGAATGAATCTTGAGAAAGAACTCACGAATGTTGTATTGTCTAATTTCCTTCTTTTGGATATCTTGATTAGAAGGGTGGGAATTATAGATGAAGCACCTAATATGAATTAATTGTAACTCTAGCAATAAGATAGTTTTCCCATAGGAAACATCAAACTCTGTGGGTGGGGATGAGTCCTGTCATCCGCCATCAATTTGAACCCTTATTGGCTAGGTATATGCATGTGCCTCCTTATGTGACACTGCTGTTCGTGTGTTCAGCATATCATCAGAAGTAACCTGCTTGGTAGAAGCCTGGAATTTGTGTGATTTTTATTCAATCCTCCATAAGCTCGTGTTCAGATACGTGGAGTTCAGTTGTATTTTTTAATCAGTATTTCAACATAATTTTTATTTCATGTATTTTATTCTAATAGAGTCAAATATTTTGGTGAAGTGCATTTTCAGGTGCAGTTTTTCTCAAAGGTTACTGTCATAGAAGTTGTTGGCTGCTTCAGGTTCAACTGCTGGTGAGGTGAAAGGTATAGGAGCAAAAAGTAGATTGTAGGACATAGACCAAGAAGTGATTTGAGGGTGGATTTTGGAAGAGTGAAGGCTGCTATGACAGCATAGGTGGAAGTGGAAGTCACAAGAACAGGGGATAAGGCTGAAGTAGAGAGAGCACAACCAGATGTTGGTGTAGAGGATACAGGACATAGGGCTAATGAGGAGGGAGCCTCTATGATGTGTGTGAGTATTCTACATACTAGCGCAAGTTGTCATTGAAAGATGTCTCAGTTCATTTCAATTGTAGGTTTTGTTTTGTTTTTTTATATTCATTGCAGGTATTTATTGAACAATAGAGTACATTTTGGAAAAAAGGGGGGTGTACAAACAAGGATACCTTCAAAAAGAGTTCTTGTATTTTATGTCAGGTAAACCTAATAATTATTGAAAATTGTATGATTTCGTACCCTAAATGTATCATGTATGAACAAATACTGTTTTGTTTTATACATTTCTATTCGGTATATATCTTCATTCATTTTGATTCTATTGTATATATTCTATGTAGAGATACTTTGTTATAATACTATGTCCAGTTGTATGTAAAAGTAACTACTGTTTGTATTGTAGGAATATAGATTTGCATTTCAATATCTGTATGTAATGTGTTGTTTGTTTGTTTTTATGTTTAAATTGTTTTGTAAGTGTTAATATGTTTTACAAGAGTTTACTAAATGTTAAATTATTAATAGTGTACTAAATGACTTCTCCAATATCTTCTTAAAGTTGGATGAAATAAATAATCTAATCTACACGTTCTCTGCAAATTTCAAGTACCTATACTGTTTATTTGTCTTATTCACTGCACAAATCTACTATGGAAAATTGTGGAGAATTATTGACAGAAAAATGAGGATGAACATTGTTGAAACTGAAAAATAAATAATTGTCTGAGCAAAAAAAATATACTGGGGTTATAATGTTTCTGTCTCAATTCCCAAGAGAACATTTTTTTGCAGTAATGTACGGCTGTAAAAATGCAGATAAAAATTAATCATCACTACTTTGTTAGTAGCCTATCTGTGACGTAATTCTAATCATTTACAAGTTTCCTTTTCCTGTGTTTCTCTCTATCTTGTCAAAAATTTATTCACATTTCAGTTTTTTTGTTTTCTTTAAGAACTCCTTGTTCAAAATGCTAACATTGAGCAAACTCTAAGAAAATTGGCATATCTAAGAAAATTCAAGAAACTAACTTCTATATATATACCAAGTGACACTTTCCAAACCATTCCTTAATATAGTTGATGAGGTAATTACTAAAATATTATTGTGTCTTTCAATAAATTTATTGAAACATTCCAATCCAAAAATACATTTCTCATACATTTTTCGACAGAGAAAAGTCTACATTCAACCATTATCTAGGCATCATTACATAAAAGGATTATAGAAATCTTAATATTATATCTGCTGGCTAATATATGTATTTATTGTTGTTGCTCAAAAAATTTATTTTCCAATTGACAAATGTTTGCTTAATTGTATTAAAAAATAGCAGTCGATGAATATGTATTGAAAAGTACTTGTAATAAACATAGTCTCAATAAATATAATAATATGGGAAGACCTTTGGGGTGAGACATTGATTCAAAATATGCTTTAAAAAAATTGACTTCACAAATTGAGGGAGTAGTTCATTCTCAGAACTTGAATTCAGAAGACATCTCAAATTTTATTATTGAGTTCAAGTCTGAGCAAATGAATTGTGCAGTAAAATGCACTGAAATAGCCAGTCTAGGGGCCCCAGTCAGGGGATCATGATATGCAAAACAAAAATATTTTTCAAAAACAATTACTGTAGCATATATTTTGAAGGCCTCAGAATATGCTTATAAATTCCTAAAATTTAATAACCTTTTATTTAACAAAAGACATCCTACAGACTTTTTAAGTGAGTTTTTAAAAATGATTTTTGAACTATCTTGATTTAATTTTATACTTTGTTCACTTTTAAAAATCTCATCAGAAATATCATTTAATATCTAAAATATGAAATAATTAATATCTGAGTCAGTAGTTAATAACTTGTTTCAATAAGGATTCAAGGGACCCCGTAATTTGCAATAGATGCTGGAATAAATGTGCAAGTTAACTAGACAGGAGGGAAATTTCAATTGAGATTCTCTCACTATATTTAATTTAACATGTTATTCAGGTTCTTTACAATGTCAATTCCTTATTCATTACCCCAATTCCTCCAATTGTCAGTCAAGTCAGGATAGTTACCCATCCTAAGTATACACAAGGCCATGAAGTGACTAGATGATGTATCAGGATAGCCCGAAACATCTGGAATTAATGGATCAATAACCTACATTGAAGTAGGCATAGTAAAATTAGTGAACCCTGTTTTTAATACACAAGTTTCATTGCAAACACTTTTGAAAGAAGGTTTTCTTCCTTACAGAAAAGTAGGAAGACATTTCATTTTCAATAGATTTCAGGAAGAATAAATTTTGATAATTTATAACATATCTACTGTTACTAATACTATATCAATAACAAATCTACTGTATGAAAGATTGTAGTAATTAAACAAGATGGCCAATTTCATGATTTCATTTTGGAATTAGTATGTAATTTTCATAATGTTTATCTTAGTAATGAAAAGTCAAATGCAACATCTTGAAAACTTGAATGTCAACTTATCTTCATTAACACAAAAAACAATACTGGAAATATTTCTGTAGACACCACTAATTGAGGTGAATTAATTAAATAGTCAAATTCACAAGATGATTTTATAATTATAAAGATTCTTATTTTTTATAAAATATATACAACTAACACACAATTAGGCTCCCTCCAGATGCCCAAATAATGGTCAAATATATCACACAGCCCTCCTTTAGTCTTTCATTAGCAACCTTTCAATACTGTCAGTCCAATCACAATTATCATTCCGTACCATATCAACTCTACCACTGTGGCAGAAAATTCTTCATGCAATCAGCTCCTTACTACTTGAATGTATTGTAGCTTTTTCATGATTGGCATGTCTTATGAAATACTTAATCCATCAGCATTCTCTGACCAGTTTCAAAATTTTCACATTGATAAATTATGTGTTAATATGAATCAATACATAAAGGAAAACATGTACATGATATAAGCTTACACAAATTGGACACTTAGTACACCTGCAAACAAAGCTTTCAAGAATACCTTGACATTTCACAAACAGATAGGTACATCACATCGAATATCTTCTTCTAACCGGTTTCTGGATTCGAATATAGTATTCCAAGTACTAACAAATCCATTAAAGATGCACATCGTATGCAAATTTGGCCGGTTTTGGAAGACCAACATACATAGAGCTATGAATGGTGCAATTCATTCTTTAGTAGCGACGTGACTGCCACCAAAGTATGAATTTAAAATTTTTATTAGGGCTGTACGAGCTAACATAGGGGTAGCAAATTCCAGGCGGAAGGATGTCTCTGGGATATTTTCACTCAAATCGAATTCGGTCAGCTCGATATTGCCGCAAAAGGTATTTTTATCGAGCTGTTTAATCTGATTAAAGGAAAGATTGAGCATTCTGAGTTCGGAAAGATACTGGAAAGCATGGGGATGGATGGCAGATAATCGATTTCCTGACATATCGAGCTCCATAAGTTCACTGACTGAGGTCACGGCGAAGGTAAAATCAGTCAAGGTGGAAAGCTTATTTCTCGCAATGCTCAAAACTTTGAGAGATTTCATCGGCTTTATGAACAGGTCTGGCAGCTGACTAATCGAATTCATAGCAAGGTTAAGATACTGGAGTCCGCGAAGCCCAGCAAACGCCATCGGATCGATGAAAGAGATCTCGTTGTCGCCCAGATCGAGATGTTTGAGGGCCGGGACGCGCACGAAAACCCCGCCGTCGAGCGTGTGAACGCGGTTGAAGGACAAATCGAGGAGCTGGAGGGACGGCGAGCGCAGGAAGCTCAGGTTGGCCAAGAGGTTATGGGACAGGTCGGCCGTCTCGAGCACGGCGGAGTGGTTGAGGGCGTCGGGCGGCAGATCGCGCAGCTGGTTGTGCGCGAGGGAGAGGCGCTCGAGGTGGCGCAGAGGCGCGAGCACGGGCGCGCGCAGGGCGGACAGGCGGTTGGCGGACAGGTCGAGGATCTGGAGCGCGGGCGTCCGGGCGAAGGTGTTGCGGGGCAGCGCGCGCAGGGCGTTGCGGGACACGTCGAGCACCGTCAGCACTGGCGGCGGCCCGTCGTCGCCCGTCTGCAGGAAGTCCAGCCGGGTCACGTTGTTGCCGCTCACGTCCAGGTCTTGTAGGCGCGGCATCTGCGGCACACCCACCACCGGCGGAAAAAATCGTTTAGGATCACCTATTTATTTCAAACAACAGAAAAAAGTTCGAAAGTGCGGATGATATAAATTTTCATTAAATAAATAAAAAATATTCTAATTTTAATTTAAAAATGGAAGTTATAATTTCTTATCAAATGTTTTTTTCTTTGCATTTTAATGTTTTAGAGAATTACTGTTCTATTTCTCCTAGAGTGCGATAGAGAGAAAAAATTATTATACAAAATCGGTCTGTTCCTAATTTTTTCTCCAAAATATCTCCCGTTAGCGCGAAAGTATTTTGTTTTATTTGTTGCTTTCACAGTTTATCTGAACATTTTTGCACCTTACTATATATATATAATTATATATATTATATATATAATATATATATATATATATATATATATATATATATATATGTGACTGGGTACAATTACTACAATAGTATCAAAGATATAGACTTTTGTATCGTGGTTTTTATAAACGGTAACAAACATTATTTTTCCTGCATGTTATGAAGTTACCAGTACACAGAGTTTGTCTGCTTCCCAATGCCTGGATTGCACCTGTCGGAGATGTCGCAGCAGGCGGCGCAGCAGTTTTGTGGCAGGCTGAGGCGCTGCAGCGCAGAAGCCGAGGAAGGCGTCGGGCCACAACGCGTGGAATGCCGTGTGAGGAGTAGTCGCCTGCAGCACGAACGCCCCACGAGCCGGGCCGCGTGGCGCGGCTCGCCGCACAGCGCCCCGCGTTGAGAGTTTCTCTGCTTTGCCAGGGGGCAGGCCGAATCAGTCGGCACGTCAGGCGCGCGGGCAGGAGGCGTGGGGACGTCAGGCGGGACGGGCCGGGGACCAGGGTGAGGGGAATTTCACGCAGAAGTGTAGTGAGGTGACGTGTTACGCGCGGAAAGCGTCGCCTTCTGGTTTTCAGCTACGTTAACACATTCAGACGACACTTTACGAGCGAAGAAGAGCTTCTTGTCTGGTGAAGTGAAATCGGTTTCGTTGAGAAAGGCTGGCGTTTACGACATCGCTGCGTTTCAAGGGCGGAGAACCTTACTTGGTGAGGTTGACGACCCGGTGTGCTGACTCGGGAGAAAAAGGCCTCGGAAGCGTTGAGGGTGGACGATCGCGCCGGAGACATCAGTTGGATTGCACATTTTAAATGTTGGAAAATGTTGACGGTTTTTGGTGTAAAGACGAGGTGCGCGTCATAGGTAACTGGGAGTCCAGATGTCAGAGGAAATTGATGGTGTTTGTCAGAGGAAGGTCGTTAGGACGAATCAGTGATCTCGCGACTATCCTTTACGTCCACAATGTTGAGCGTCAGGCAGCAAGGCTGTCTTGGACAGGTGAGCGAGTGTTTCGGCGGTGAGGGGTGACGGAAGAGACGGGATCCAGGGTGCGTGGGTGGCTGGAGTTGGTTCGAAGCTGTCAGAAGCATCGAGACGTCAGGAGAAGTCCAGGCTCTGGAGTGCCTTCGTAGTCTTGGAAGCGTGGAAGTTTGTCTAGAAGCGTACGGACACTTTGGAGGAATGTGAAATCGTGAGTCCGGTAAGAAAGCTTGGAGATGTCGGAGCAATGGTGAGCTTAAGTTTTATGACCATCTTTCATGCAAGGTCGTTCAGATCGTCGAACACGTCGCGTTGTTTCGGAGATTGACGGGATTGAAGATCAACAGATTTGAAGGATTCGTAGTCTTAGAGGATGGAGTTTTTGGAAGATAAGGAGTTTTGAGCATTTCAAAGATGTCGGAAGATTTTGGAGTCGTCAGCCGCATCGAAGGAACAACGTTTTTAAACACGCCAGCTTCCTTCTCTGTTGGGGGGACCTTTGGGTTTCGGAGGGAGCGAACAGGAGCAATCGGATTCACATCCAACCATTCGGGGCGTTGGGTGTCAGGGGATTCCAGTGGGTGAGGGCCGTCAGGCGTTGCAACCAGTTGGACCCCCCGGCGCGGCGTGGTGACGGGGCGTGGCGGCGGGGCCGGTGGCGGCGGCGCGGGGCGGGGAGGGCGCACGAGCTGCAGGTTGACGGCAGCAGAGGTGCGGGCACGCGCGCCAGCCTGCGCGCCGGCCGCGCGCAGCGTCGGTTGAAAGGGTTGGCGGGAGGTCGAGCGTGCCGAGGCAGCGGGCAGGGGTCGAGCGCGGCCGGCGGCAGGCGAGCGCACGCGTCTGCGACAGAAGAGCACGCGCAGGCGGGCCAGGCGCGCCCAGCGCCCGTCGCCTGTCACGCGGCCGCAGCCCTCTGCTCGCAGGGGAGCGCGACGAGCGCGGCGGCCCGCGGCGGCAGCGTGGCGTCGCTGAGCCTCCGGCGACGCGGTTACGGCTGAGGTCGAGAAGGCGACTCGCCCTAGTGCGGAAGCGCGACGCGCGCCAGCCGGTTGCGCGCCAAGGAAGAGGGTGGCGTGAGCGCCGGGCAGGGCCGGAACAGCGTGGCCGGCAGCGCGCTCAGCCGGTTGCGGCTCAGGTCGAGAACGCGCAGCGCCGACAGCCCGTGGAAGGTGTCGGCGTGCAGGCGCGCCAGCGCGTGGCCGCTCAGCGACAGCGACAGCGTGCGCGCGGGCTCTGAGGTGGAGGCGAACGCGCGGGCGGGCAGCGCGGCCAGGCGGCCGTCGCGGAGACGCAGCTGCAACACGCGCGCGCAACCCTCTGATTCAACGTCGGAAAACAGTCAATCCTGGATTACAAAAGTGGCGTCTGTCCGACTACGCGAGTAGTGCCGAAAGCTTCCTCCACCTCTTCCCACCACTCCCCGTTTTGCAAACCTGCTTTTTGGATCTAGCCAGTGGAAGACAGGCATTGTTGTGCTGTTTCGGGTATACGCCATTTGATCACGCGCCGTCCAGTAGATTGATATTGAATACGTACTCTTTGTGCTGAAGTATTTAAGTTTTTTTTCGAACATTTAGTGATCGTAATGGAACGATGACGAGCACAACAAAGAGACCTGTAGACGTATTGCACCAGATGGACAATATCATATTATGCAGCCGCAACACTAAAAAGTGTCCCTTAGGCTTATTCTAGAACCGGGTGAATATAAGACTAGTAAATTCGTTTTGGGCTGTTCATAATTGTGTGAAAGCAAAATCTAAACCACTAAATAGATACAAGTACGTAACAGAAATTGAATTGAACTCATTGAGCTGTTCAAGCCGTTGCTTCAAAGGAGAATCCAGATGACAAACTTTCCGAAAGTTTTGCACATATCCATTGCATCAGGGTGGTTGTCCCACATCCAGTCCACAGACATTCCATATAACAAGGAAGAAAATTCTGCGCCTTACCAAGTGAGAGTCAAAGCTTTTAGATGTATCCACGAAACCCTTTCAAATGTATTTTATAACTCCACGTCATAATGTTCAATCCATTATTGTAAAAATGAGTTTTTCTACATTTCTACCCAAGATAGTCTGTCAAACTATGCATGTGTAATCTAGGGTCATAAACTGTGTGATGTACTACCGAGAGAAGGGTGTTCTGTACACCCTTCTGGTTTTAAATTCTAGAACCTCTACACCAACTCATATACTACATACGAGTATTAAGTTGAATTATGAATACAAGAAGCAAGTACGATTTTGGCAAAAATTGATAATAAAATATTCGCTGCCGTGTAATAACAATTATTTGCAAAGAGAAATCATAAATAGAATTTGGCCATTATCCTTGGTCGTGTCCTACCTGAAGGAATCGACTTACTGTCGGGAGAATATGGAGAAGATTATTTGAATAACTGCATTATGATGTTCTAATTCCTTGTTAGTTCCAAGTATTATTTTTTCGTAGAATTTTTAATTTTCTCTTTTTAGAAGGAAAGCACGCATTAAAGTGAAATGAAGGCTTTGATAAATATAAATACAATACAATATGAACTAATTCTTGGTGTGAAATATCAATGAGACTGTCATGGGAAGACATTATGCAACCAAGCATATTACAAAACTGGTCAGTAGCAAAGCTCCCAAGTTCGTATAACGAGCAGCGAAGATTTCCAATCTCATCCCCTCGTATTGGTTGGCACCCCTGTTCCACGAAGCAGTCCAATTAACCCCTTTACAGCGTACCATGCATCACACCCACTCCGTCTCTACGGAGACGAAATGACGTCAAACGCGTATCCCAGAGCAACGGCTATCCCCGGATCACATCCATGAATCGCTCCGGAGGCTGCAGAATCCGCTCACAGCGGTCGCGATTTCCATTGAAAACACGTTTGTCCTTTTTACAGCCGTCAATACAGATTGTGTGCCGTAAATGAAATAATAAAAAGTTGCTCAAATAAAAAACTAATTAATTTGCGATCAAATCAGATATTTCGCGAAAAATATTTAGTGTTGTTAATTAACCAATGGAAATAAATATTTTTGCGAGTCAACGTTACTTTAAAATTTAATTCACTAAAAAATCGTACTTTCGAGGAATTGGAAGTTTTTTAAATTACTTTTTGAATTACTTTTATTACTCAAAAACTAAGACTATGAAATAATTGGAAATAAAAATAAAAGAGCCTAAATAAAAGAGCTTACAAAAGTTAAAAATTCAGAATTTTTCACATAACAGTCACTTTTTAAATGACAATATACCATTGACCGATGTAAATACATGCGAATAAAAATTAACGACTCTTATCTATATAAATTAGTTTTTGCGGATGATCAAGTTATCATTGCGGTGGACAAGAAAGATAGGAGCTACACTTTAAGGAAGCTGAAAGAATAGAACAAGGTGCTCGGGCTTGAGATTCAGTGGCAAAGTAGTTAGGAGAGTGTGGATCCGCACAGGGATGCTTTCCCACCAAATGTAAATTTTAGAATCTAATTTTTCTAAAATATAAAAAAAGAAGAAAAACTTTAGAAAACATTTCCGATCTTCTAATTGTATTGGCTCAGATCATAGCTAGAGCACGGAGCCTACACAAATTAAATTTGGCGGATTATTCCTACGATTGTGGAGAAGCAGAAACGGCCATACGTCCGATGCGTGATTGTCCTCATTGTGAAAGGAAACTGATCAATATTGAAACAAACATGGTGTAGAAATTATAAGACCTGGCCTATCGAAGTTGGTCTCGTTGCATAGGACATATTCCAATCTCGAAAACTTCGTGAAGGATATGAAAAATACACATCAAGTTAATGTTTAGTACAGAAAAGAAATGGTTAAATAAAGAGTAGTATTCATCAACTGGGGACGAACAAAGTGACGAAGTACGCAGTTATCAAATAGACAAAAGCTCGGGTGTGTTAAGAAGGACGTTTCAGTCGTGAGACCAGTCGCGAGCTTTTCCCAGCTGGAGCGTTGCTCTTCTGGGTGAGATACCTGTAGGGAAAACCTCGCACGTATAGGTCGGCGCCGTTCCTCACACTCCAGTGGGGACTAACGCCACCGTCTCTCGGAATATAATATAGCATGCATTACAGGTAAGGGATTAATGATCTAAGTAGTTGTCGGAATGAACACTCATCTTTGACACGCACTCTGACCCCTATTTAAAAGAGATTAATCTAAGAATGAACCACTTTGACTGCAACTGCAAGAAAACTGCTCACGAGCTCAATTCGTCAATGCGCTTGTTGGCACTGGCTCAGTTGTAAGTGGTTTCGATAAGATACCATCGTCCAACATGACGTTCATTTGTGACGCGACCTGCCAAACCGATCCCTTCTTAGAGGAACGTATGGATACCTAGAGCAAAACCATTCTCCGACATGATTATTTGTGACACAACTTGTCAAACCGATCTCTCCTAATAGTCCAGTCGGTATGTACATTTTACCTGGAACAAAGTCATAAAACCTTTTTCTTTGGGTATGTTTTATGTACCCAAGCACTAGTTAAAACCCCAAGTTTTCGACATCACAGACTCTGTATTAACTCCGGGAGGCCCAAAGAAAAACCGGTAATTTTTTATGATTTGTTTCTGCCTTTCTCTACACCCCCCATTCAGTACCTATCGACTGGACTATTAGAGGCACGTGAGCGTACCTGGAGTAATACGATCATCCATTCATTCGTGACACGATCTGTCAAACCGGCCCCTTCTTATAGGAAGGTGCGGGGACCTCGAGCAATACCATGGTCCGGCTTGACGTTTATTTGTGACGCAACCCGTCAATCCGATCCCTCATTACAGGAACGTATGTATACCTGGGGCACTATCATTGTCCAGCATGATGATCGTTTGTGACCCAACCTGTGAAACTGCCCCCCTTAGAGGCACGTGTGCGTACCTGGAGCAATACCTTTGTCCGACATGAAGTTCATTTGTGACACGTGCTAAACCGGCCCCTCCGTAGCGGCAAGTGTGCGTACCTGGAGCAATACGATCGACTGACAAGAACATCGTTTGTAAAACAACCAGTGAAATCACCCCCCATAATATCCAGTCGGTATGCGTGACCCCCTCTCCATCTGGGCTGTCCGGGTGACGCCGCGTCGAAGGCTGTGTTGGCGACGTTTCGACCATCCTGTCGTGGTGTTCCTCACGGCTGGTATGCAGGCCTCATGCCAGCCCTGAGGAAAAAAACGACAGGATGGTCGAAACGTCGGTAACACAGCCTTCGACGCGGCGTCACCCGGACAGCAGAACGCACATTACTCTGGCCGCGAAGCCTACGACTCATCCAGTCGGTATGTACACTCTTGGAAACATAAAATTTCGCGTCGAAACTGCCTTGGCCCGAGAGGTTGATGCGCTGGAACATCCCTGCTTGCCGACAGCGCTATCTACCGTTTATTTCCGAAACTACGTTCTGTAGATCGTACTAAGAACATTTAAATTTCTCATTGGAGAGCATTTAAAAATATTTTAACATCCATTGAGAGCAAAATAGTTGTAACACTGAGGAAAAAGACTTTCGTGATTCCTGCCAGTAAAAGTCAAATACATTAATTTTGTAAACGTAATGTTTCTTTCAAGTTTTGTTAATTAAAATGTGTTGTATAAGATAAGCGCTGCAAGAGCGAAGAATGCTCAGTATCAAGTGTTGTTCTAGCACTCG